TCGCAGAGGTGAACAACTTGTGTTTCGCGCGCTCATATGACCTTAGCAGTTGCGAGCGCCATAAAACCTTATACTATACTATACTATACCCTATTTGTAGTGCAGATACGTCTTCCTGCCTTTGATACAAGATGCAGAATGGGTAGAGGCGTCCGTTTGAACGAAGATAAGAAATTTAATAATTTTTGCAGATACGTCAGTCTGCCTTGGCACGGCAGTATTGTTATTGCGCTTTGTTTTGTTTTTCCTTGTGCAGCAAAAAGATTGTGTAGTTCCTATGTGTCTTTTTGTATGTATAGCATTCTACCTATAAATGTGTTACGGGCTCATGTGTTACTGTAATATGTTCAATGGGCAAAATGTGTAGTGCCCATGGGGTGTTGTTACACTTGGTGGGTGCTCTGGTGTGGTTTGCTCCGTCTTTCCTGTCAAACATCTATGGACCTTATTTCTCCTCCTGTTTTGTGTATGATTCTCTATTGTAACATCTGTTCTTCGGCATTTATATAACCTTATTGTTTTGCAAGTGAACTCTTACTTTAACGAAACTGTTGTTACTCTTGCCTATGCTTTAAGAAATACATTTTTTGTTTTTGTTCCTTATACAGCCAAAAAACAACATCTAGTTCACCTAGGGATTTCTTTATGAAATATGCGTAGCATTCTGTTGATGTGTTTTGTGTACGACAGATTGCTGTGGTATGTTTTGTGGGCATAATGTGTTGTGGCCACGGTGTGTTGTTGTTATATTTGGCTTTGTTTTGTTTTTTCTCATCCAGCAAAAAGAGGAGCCGCTGCGATACAGGAAGTGTTTTCAGTCGATGCGACACACCCTGGGCGAAGTGGTGTCTGTGAGAGATTGTGTCATCCTGCACTCTGACGGCGATGCTGGTATACCGTATGTGGCTAAAGTCAGCTCCCTTTGGGAGACTCCAACTGGTAAGGGACCTGAATTTAAAGCAATCTTTGTTACATGGATTTTAAATGTTTTTCCAATGTTTTGATTTTTGGTGTCTTCTCCCATTTCTTTATGTTGCACCATGCTTCGGCTACACCTACCTAAGATGTTAATATTGTGAGAAAGTAGCGCTAATTCAATGACTTACCTTATATTAATTGGTATCATATCATTATTACTCCAAGAAAATACAACCCATCTCACTTTTTAAAAAGTGCAATAGATATTCTTCTTCTAATACTGTTGTACAGTTCATCCTATTTTGACTCGCTCCATCCAACTGCAGTTGAAATAATATGAAACACAAATCGACTTGAGCTTTCATGTAATGAGATATTTATAAGAGAAAGACTGTATGACTGTAATGAAACTACACTCAGGAAATGCTTTGGGACTGCGATGAAAACACACAGGATGCAAGAGACGTAATGTGTGAGTGTGCTGAAAACAAATAGTTTTAAGAGAAATAATGTGCGGCTGTTATGAAAACAAAACAATATAACAGGAGAAATACGCGAGTGTGATGAAAACAAAAGCGGATGGAAGAGAAATAATGCGTGAGTGTGATTTTAAAAATCCAGATGTTCAAGAATTAATGTTGGAGTGTGATGAAAACAAGCAGATGTTAGAGAAATAACGTGCGACTGTGATGAAAACAAACGGATAAAAGAGAAATAAGATGCGAGTTTGATGAAAACAACTCAGGGTGTAAGAGAAGTCATGTGTGATGGATGAAAACAAAGCAAGGATGCAAGGGATAGACTGATTTTGTGATGAAACAATTGAAATAGTTTTTTTGTGAAGTGGTTACCAAGCAGTAGTTCTTTCTCAGCCTCAGGAACTGGTTGCTGGAAGGTTCCTGTGTTAATATAGGTCGCGTAAACATGGCCTCGCGGCCTTCCAAGCACGTGGTATTGGTGAAATCTGGGTAATTCAGATCACTGTTTCTTTGATCGTTCGCTATAAAACACCAAATGCTGTACACCTTGTAAAAGTTCAGCTTTTCCACGTTACAATGGTGTGAGTTGTTTATATGACCTATTATTAGGAGCTGGAGAATCGCCGTGGAAAGCGAAGCCCCTCGCGGTTGGAACGCATGGTCGGCCGGTTTAAAAATTGACATGCGTGCTAAAACTAAACTAAGTTGCTGTGTTAATGTGTTCTGTTTGTATAAACAAAACATAACAAATTGTTCTCCCCCCCCCCCCCCCCCCCCCCCCGCGCAAAACTCCCTCACAGGAGAGATGATGCTGAGCATGCTATGGTACTACCAGCCGGAGCACACCGCGGCGGGTCGGGAGCCGGAGGACGGTGAGCAGGAACTGTTTGCCTCCAAGCACAGGGAGGAGAACAGTGTGGCCTGCATCGACGACAAGTGCTACGTGCTTATGTTCAACGAGTACTGTCGGTAAGGGCTGTCCTGCTGTCTTCTTGTGTTTTAGGTTTCAGTACAGGTTTTACGGGGCTCGCAACTGCATGAGGTCATATGAGCGCCAGAGGATTAGAGGTGTTACAAGAGGGTAACAAACAAAAAAGAAGAAGGGGAGATAAGGATGATAGATGTTTGATAGGAAAGGGGAAGCAAACCACACCAGAGCACCCTCCAACCACCCACTTCTTGTGTGTACTGATGGTGTGTTAATGATAGGCTGTCCTCATGTATGTGTAATGTGTGTTTACAATAGGAAGCCCTTTATCCTCATGTATATAGTATATATGTGAGGCATCGTGGTGAAATCAGGTGCTCGTAAAAGGGGAAACCGGCATTTTTCTGCTGGTTTAGCAATTTTTATCGAATTTTTGTTTTTTGACAAACACCTATTAAGAAGGATGTCCTTTAAAAGACATTTCTGTGTAGATTTTACGTACAAACAATGATTAAAGCCCCCCCCCCAAAAAAAAAAAAAATTAAAATTTTTTTTGTTAAAAGCAAGGTGTTTTCATGTATATATATTTAGTGTGTTTACAGTAGAGTGTTTTCGTGTACAGCTCTAACAGCCTCCTGTATAAGAAAATCACCTGTATAAAAGGCCACTTTCAATTTCCTCCCATGTGTATTTCCCCCAAATTTTTTTGGACACTTTGTAAGATGAACCTGTCTAATATGGCCACTTTCCTCCTTAACAATACAATGGGTGAGTCTCTTAGACAATTTCGACTGTTATTATTGTCTGTGTCTGACTTTAACCACTTATGTGTAAAATTAAGACAGCCTCCTCCCTCCCCTGTACGCATCATGGGCAGCGTAAGTGCGCCCAGATGAAGGGTAATGTCTTGCTACATTCGGATATCGCGGTCGGCACCCTCCATTTGGGAGTCCACAAATGGTATGCTCCATAGTGAACTGGAATACCGTCAACAAAATGCATGGTCTTTTTTAAATTTTTTTTTTTGGTCAGTGTTTTACGTCGCTTGCAACTGCATAAGGTCATATTAGCGCGTGGGACACTTTAAACTTTAAACATTTTCAGTTTGGTAGGAATTAATTTTGAATTTTGCTCAGGTGGAGGCCGAAGCGTACTCTTATCGGTTTTGGACCACCAAGGGATCTTTAACATGCACAACTTGCATAGGGGACCTCCGAGAATTTTCGCCCTTATGAGAAGGCTAGGTGTTAGATCTTATCTACCACAAGATCAGGGATGTGGCTGAAAGACAACAGTAAGAAGGAGCCACGGAGTAGCAGTAGAAAATAGGCAAAAAAAGTCAGGAGCCCACAGGATGGGGCAAAACGGGTTGGGGGGCAGAAAGTGGAGATGAAAGCAGACAACAAAACATGGTTAGAGAGCAAGAAAGGAGGTGTAAGGAGAACATTTTAGAGAAGAAAATGTTTCCGTCGCTGTCAGGTTTCGAACACAGGACGTATTGAATGAGAGGCAAACACCGTAACTTATAGACCACGAGAGCCAGCGTGCATGGCCTAGGATATAATACAAGTCTGTGGTATTTATGGAATGAGGTTGTTTTTTTTAATTATTTATTTAGGGGAGGGGAAGGCTGTCTTACAGCTCAGAGTGTTTATTTATTTGTGTTGTAGTTGATAATATGGGTCTAATATTTTTGGTGTTTATGTAATAAACAATGGTTTGTTTTATCTCCCCCCACCCACCACCACCACCACACGCACACAATGCACACACACACACACACACACACACACACACACACACACACACACACACACTCACACACACACACACACATGTGCGCACACACACACACACACACACACACACACACACATGTGCACACATACACACACACACACACACACACACACACCAGGCTGGAGTCGGAGGCTGTGAGAACAGAGCAGGGTGTGCCCCTCCCGCTATGGAGACAGAAGATCCCACAAGTGAGCGAGGCGGACAGCAAGCTGCGGCGGCCGCTACCACATCCCGATACCTGCGTGGACAACATCTGGTTCTGCCGATTCGACTACGACATCAGGAAAAAAATTGTGAAGAAACCGAAAGACAAAAAGTCCAACCTGAGGTACAGCAGACACCGGAGTAGTTAGATAAAACCGCTGCGGGTTGGGTTTTGTTGCGACTTATCGCAGATTTCTCAGATTGACTTTCTGTGACCGTCCTTGGTCGTCAGGGAATGTATGAGTGGTGGGTCCGGTTTTTTGTGAGGGCAGCAGGCGTAGGTTGGATGTGGTTTGACTTTTGTGGGTTGGGTTTTTGTTTGACTGTAGTTCGTCAAGTTTTTGGCGGACAGTCGTTGGTTTTTATGTGACCGTTGTGTGTCAGGTTTTAGTTTGAGCCCATGGGTCAGGATCAGTGAGACCGCCATATGTCTGGGTTTGTGTGGCTGTAGCCCGAAAGTTGATTTCGCCGATGTTTGGCTCATGTGTGTGCAGTAACTTGCTGATGTAGCATATATGCGAGCAAAATTTTCGTGTGGGATGGATGGTTTGAGGGTTCTTCTGGTTGGTTCTTCTTTTCTCTTCCTCTGTCGTTTCTGTCTACCTGTGTTAATCTTTCCTTGCTCTCAGCGATCATCATTATGTCATTGTGCCTCTCTCTGTTTTAGTAAGTGTTTTACGGCACTTGCAACTCAATAAAGTCATCGGAAATTAGAAGTGTTTCAAGGGAGTAACAAACACAAAAAAGAAGGAGGGGAGATAAAGACGATAGATGTTTGATAGGAAAGAAGAAGCAAACCACACCAGAGCACGGGCCAACCACCCACTGTGCCTCTCTAACAACAAAGAAACAGACAGAAAAAGCAATGTATTGTGTGAAGGAATGGGGAGATTGAATCTCCTCTGTGCTTGGGGGAGATTGAGTTTCTTCACTACGTATGGGCACTCTTTACACTCATTGGGTTGTTGGAGGGTACCAGTACCAACGTTTTATGTAACTGTTCCACATTGTACTGTATTGTAAAGTGCTCAGAGCCTGTGTACTTTATCGGGGTTGAGGGCTATATAAATGTCATTTATTATTATTATAACAACTGGTAGGTTCCACTTCTTTCCTTTCACTCTGACCATTATTTTGTCAATGTACTTCTCCTTATTGTGGGTGGTTGGCGGGTGCTCTGATGTGGTTTGCTACTTCTTTCTTGTCGAAACATCTGTCTGCCTTATCATCTCCCCTTCTTTTTTGTGCATGTTACTCTTTAGTAACATGTAATCTATTCTTCGGCACTTATATGACGTAAAACTCTTACTAAAGCTAAACTAAAACTTCTCCTTATCCTTGAACCAAACCAATTGCTCCTCCCTTTTTGGGGCAGTGTTTTGGTGCACCCAAATTTGCTTTTCAATTGATCATATGAAATAATGACAGCCTACTCCTTGCCACTTCTTTATTAACCCATCGTAAGATTATCGTGACTATAGTGACGAAGCCGCGGCTGTCCCTGAAAAGTTATGGCAACTATAGTTGCGATCATGAACATGGGCACTTGAGACCCGATTTTTGTGTATGGAACCATCAAAAATGGTTTAAACTAAGTTTAAATCTTTTCAAGGAAGATTTTCCTTACATTTCCTGCCCCAAACAAGAATCTTGACCCAGAATTGGAATATAAATTGAACAGTCTAGGAATTGGTTTTCATCAGTCACCAAGGCAGTAATTGAATCTGAAAGGACTGCAAATATGAATGTTTGCAACCTGTTCACCGCATTTTGTGTTTTTTCTTCACTCAATTTTCAGTTCAATGATGTTTGGTTCATATTTCTATCTTAAAATTAAGGAAGTTATAAGCATTTTTCATGACCCACCCTAATTTTCATGAAGTTCTCAAATTAATTTGCCTCTGGGGGACTGGACAGTGCAAATTATGTGCCTCTTGAAAGGTTAAGGTACTGTCATTTGATACTATAGAGTTGCAGTTGATTTGCTATGTCACTATTTTTGTGTACAAAATGTACAAGCATTCTCCACATTTTCCCCCTTACAGCAAAGTATCCATAGTGAACACTGACTTTTATTGTGGGCTGAGAAATTTCTGAATTTCTGAATTTTAGATGAGGGATAGCTGGAGGGCACCACTGGAAGGTCCTATTTCTTTTCTTTTTGCCTCATTTCTGTCTTTCTGGCTTACTCTTTTCCCAGCAGTAAATGAACCATCATTGTGTTGATGTGCTTCTCTGTGCTCCAAAGAACGAAGGATTGTTAGGTTGACCTGATACCTGAATAGAATAGGAATTTGTTGTTAGAAGAGGCCGGAGCGACTTGATCATTGGTCTATTGCTGAAGTGTCAAGATCACAGACAGATGGCATGCACACATCTGCAGCTGGGCATCAGAACATTTGTGAAATTGTCAACGTGAATTTGGAACTCCGTTTATGGCTGTTTCGTCACAGTTGTGGTTAGAAGATTATGCAGCAAAGTAAGATTGGGGGGTGGGGGGGTGTATTGTCCCCCCAGTATAATTTAAAGTATGCAACATAGTGAACATGGCGCTGAATTGTGTCACTATTGTTGTTGTTAGATTATGCGGTTTAGAGTAAGATGGGAAGACTGGCAAAACATTGATTGCGGACGTCTGTTTCAGATCTGGCACTTGAAGAAGAGGAAGACCAGGGCTGTGGCACAGTGCACACCAGAAAGCTTGTGCCATCAGTCGTTATTAGAGAGAGAGGTGTAGTGAGTGCCGGCACTATGTCTTAAAAAAAAGTTGTTTTTTTTTTAGATTGAATAATGATATGTGTGTGTGTGCCTAGAGAAAGGAAGCAAAAGTCGAATTTTAAGCATTTTGAGTTAAAGGTTGTATCGAAGAGGACATTCAATGCTGAACACAGTGGTTTTGAATTTTTGAGATATCTCAAGTAGTTTTTGAGATATTGCACATTTTGCGAGGTAGGGTATAAAGATGTAATTTTGAGAAAATTAGCTTTTAAGTTTAGAACACATACAAACTTGAAAAAAACGATGATTCAATTGTTTCTAATGTATTTATTCATGGAAAATAAATTTCCAATTTGGCATTCAGTTGACATCAATATCATGATTAGAATTCAATGGTAAAACGTAGCGGGAAGAGAAAACGTGCTTCAAGAGTGGTATTTAACACCTTTTAAAAGCAGTTTCCATTATCATTTTAAAACATACCCTACCCTCAAAATAATTTAAAATAAAATATTGAAAAGTCAAATCAATGAAAACTCTTTTAACACCTTGTTAAAAAATGGTGGAACTATAAATTTTTTTATGGAAACACCTTTTGGTCAAAAAAGGAATTTTTGTCATTATCAGCCTGTAGCTGAAAATGCTTAGTGGCGACTTTTTGTACCTTTCTTTAGGCACACACACACACATACACACATATGTTTTATGAGCAATGGCTCCAGCATTTCTATATCTCTAACGTTTGAGAATGCTAGTTGGAGCAATGTCTTTACACTTTTACAAACACGCACTTACTTGTTTTGTAACTTCTATACAACATGGCGTCTCGCCGCTAGTCAGATGAAATCTCTTAAAATTCCGTCTCCGTAGGACCGGAAATGCTTATTATTGAATTCACTGTAATTATGCAAGTCGCGTTTAAGTCATTCACTGGTGTAAATATACTGTTTATGATTTTGTAAATATGAATCTGATCTGTACTCATGATATTCTTGTGATTTATTTGTCATTGCTGTACACCCATGAATTTCACCTTGTAGAGCTCATGTGACAGACACGTACTCATGAAATTCCCTTGATGTGGTGATGTCATCATCATTTACCCATGAAATTCTCATGATGTTGTGATGTGACAGACATGTACTCATGATATTCCCTTGATGTGGTGATGTCACCATCATTTACCCATGAAATTCTCATGATGTGGTGATGTCACCATCATTTACCCATGAAATTCTCATGATGTGGTGATGTCACCATCATTTACCCATGAAATTCTCATGATGTGGTGATGTCACCATCATTTACCCATGAAATTCTCATGATGTGGTGATGTCACCATCATTTACCCATGAATTTCTCATGATGTGGTGATGTCACCATCATTTACCCATGAATTTCTCATGATGTGGTTATATCATGTGGCCAACATGTCCTCATGAAATTGCCATGCTGAGGTTATGTAACACTCTTGTACCTGTGAAATTTTCATGACATGTAACAGAAAGGAAATTTTCAAGACGCGTTATGTTACAAAAATTAAATTTTCAAGACATGTTGTGTATCAGAAATGAAAATTTCAAGACCATGTTATGTATCAGAAATGAAATTTTCAAGACATGTAGTGTATCAGAAATGAAATTTTCAAGAGATGTTATGTTACAGAAATGAAATTTTCAAGAGATGTTATGTTACAGAAATGAAATTTTCATGACATGATGTAACAGAAATGAAATTTCCAAGACGTGTTATGTATCAGAAAATGCAGTTCTCATGATGTTGTTATGTAACAGACCCCATGTCATGTAAATTCTGTGTCACACTAGTATAGTCATGAAGTGGCCATTATGTATTTGTGTCGTGCACATGTAATTGACGTATCCCACACGTGACTGTGTACCAGACTTGTGATCATGTGACTCGTGTGCAGTTATCACATCAAAGGCTATTGTTTATTGCATGTGGGATTATGGAAATCAGACTATGAAGTATTGTGGGTTTGGTTTTTTGTTATTATCATTATTAAATTATTTAATTACCACTATGTGATAGTGAGGTTCACAATCTGTAAGCAGCTCTCGGTAATTTGGGGGAGACTGAAGAGCATGTCGGACATGATGAGGGAGAGAAACTGTTCGTACTTTGTGGCTGTGTTAAGATAATGATGTGGGTGGTTGGTGGGTGCTCTGGTGTGGTTTGCTTCTTTCCTATCAAACGTTTATCGTCCTTATCTCCCCTCCTTCTTTTTTATGTTTGTTACTCTCTTGTAACACCTCTAATCTTCCGGCACTCATATGACCTTATTCAGTTGCGAGCGTCGTAAAACCTCCACTAAAACTAAGATTATAATGAAATGACAATGTCTCCCATGCAGGTGGTAGGTGTGTGTCGATGGCAGGACTTTCTTCTTTTTTCTCCCTCTGATTTTTGTTTGTTTGTCGAGCTGTCTTACTTATTCTCTGCACTAAATGACTGTTATAATGTCAATGTGCTTGTGTTTGCTCTTACTCATACTCATTTCCCTCAGTGTCTTTTACCAACGGTTCTAATGTTGCCCATGTTACTTCCATGTTGGGGGAAGAAGGCGAAGGGGGAGTTCGGTCTATTTCTTGTGAGCAACAAGCTTTCCCCATTTTCTGTCTTCTGTCCTAGCTTCTTATATTTTCTTTTAGTTGGATTTTTGACCTCCTGTCTCTCTCTCTCTCTCTCTCTCTCTCTCTCTCTCTCTCTCTCTCTCTCTCTCTCTCTCTCT